ACTTACTACCTTTCATATTTCCGTGTTTTAGGACAATTTGTAAACAAACAAACAAAAAGTCATTCAAGAAGAAAAGTTTAGTTGCATGCACGTGTGAGCGAGTTCCACCCTGTTTTTTTTTTTTTTTTCAATTTCGCGCAATGCTACACGAGGGCTATCTGTCCCTAATTTAGTAGTGAAAGACAAGAGGGAAGGCAGCTAGTCATCACCACCCACCGCCAACTCTTGGGTTACTCTTTTACCAACGAATAGTGGGATTGACCGTACATTATAACGCTCCCACGGCTGAAAGGGCGAACATTTTTCAACCTAAAAGTTTAGTGTGTTTGTGTACGAATCGTACACTTCTTTCATCTTCTGCGTCTGTACTAGAGAAGTCCGTTCGTCCGGTCAACTTCATCTATCTGTTTGTGCTATTAAAAGCATGTCACCAGTATTTGATAAACAGATAAAGCATGTCACCAGTATTTGATAAACAGTTAAGTTAAGGAAGAGATTTACCTGTACAAACGCGGAAGGAAAACGAATGTCTGATCGTTCTTTAATCTGTTACTGAAGTCCTTTATTCAATTCGTGTTTTAATGCTTTTGATTGATTTGTTTGGTTTGAATTTCGCGCACAGCTACACGAGGGCTATCTGCGCTAACCGTCTCTAATTTAGCAGTGAAAGAATTGATGAAAGTGATGAATAAATATAAAACTTGCAGTCAATTCAATCCCTTGGATCATAGTGTATATGCAATATGATTGTCCAGTGGGCCGTTTACAACAGTCTTTTGTCATTTTACTAAGTCATGTTACCGAAGTGGTCGCTTTTTGATAGTTGTCATTTCTATAAGAAGCGTCAAAGTGAAGATATTCAATTAAGTTCAAATCAATTTATTCGACACGATACAATTAAATCATGCATGTATATAATACCGATATGAAAAAATAAAATATCAACGCAACAACAATAAACATATACCCAAAAACGTTTCTTCCTTTATGCGTTTTTTTCGTTCATGCTCCTATCTTCGAAATATCTCTTTCAATCAGTCGACGGAGGAAACCCCGTTTTTCGTGAAATTCCCTCACAAAAAAAGGAACATTTTCGTCCTTAATAAGTTTTTTCTCAGAGTGACCAATCGATGTCGATATGAAATTTTAAGAATTGTAAAAAAAATAAGTTTTCCTGTAGCGCACTCTTGAAAAGAAGCATTTTGATACATATTTTAACCGTTCAAAGTGTGACAGATATTTGAGTATTATATATATATGTATTTCATATTCAGCATGCTCTTTTAACGTCATTATCAAGATTATCCGTACTTTTGAATAATATAAGTTTGTATCGATTTAGTGCAAAGCTGCTACCTGCTGGAATTGAGCCCCAAATATCTTAGCGTTATAAGTTCTCATGCTTACTTATTACCAAGCCACATGAGGACTAAAGAACAATTCTGCTCAACTATAGGCGAAGGTTACTTGATATGTAACTAACTTTATACATTATTATTATTATAATAAACGTAGATAGCAAGCTGGTACGGTACATGATGATTTACTATAGCTATTGACTATTTGATCGCATTAGTTCGAGGTATAAAATGTTAAGCTGCAGCTGGAGATTTGTTTGAAAATATAGTGAGCATTTATAGTTTCTGTATAACTAAATTCTCTGTATGTAATGCATAGCAATGGGCAAATATATGCCTAGACTAAAACACAACCCCCACTAAGTGTGTATAAACTTTTACTAGAAGAAAAATAGCCTTTTCAGATGAAACATATATGTTTAAAACATTGGTTTAAATAAACCTTTGTCTTTTAAACTAATTATTCTACAAATGTGTGTAATAAAATTTAATATTATGTGTATTGATTTTTTCTTTTACTCTTTCACTTCATACTTAATATAGGTGTTGGCTCCCTCAAGACACTGATTGTATAGTGCACAAAGCATTGAATATCTACATGTTACAGTCATCTAATGTTCATCTGTTGTTGGCTGGTAATTCCTGTTTTACAATATACTTAAGCTTTTTAAAGGAACACTAGATATTTGTAAGAAAGCTAATTTCAAGGGGCAATGATGCTTTTTAAGCTTATGTAAAATATAGAAGAAACAAATCAACCTTTCAATATCCCTATGGCCTTTGCAGTACCATATTTAGAATTCTACAAAAGGTTGTTGTTGTAGGCTGGCAAGAGAATAATCATTACAAATGGGCAGTTTTGAGTGGATTTACTTTTCTTTGCAAGTCTCTCTTTGAACTGAATCTTTACTGTTTAAGGTGATTTTTGCCTGAACGTTCTATTAGGGTTTTGTGCAATTCCTTGCAAACCCTATTATCAACCTCTGTTGTGGTTGATGATAGTGAGAAATGCAGCTTGCAACTGCAACAGTGTTTATTTTAATTTTGTGGCCATTGTGTGTGTGTGTGTGTATATGTACTATAATGGAATGAAAATATAATTCGTAGCTCTGCTTTAATTATTTTCACTTGAGTGACACATCTGTGATTGGTAGGAATAATGTAATTAGTATTAAAACATTCAAAAAGTCCTTGTGTTTTGTATTTCATTACATGAAAAATTTTTAGTCAGTGTTCTTGAACTTTTAACTCAAATACTGATCTGATAAAATAAAATTTATGCAGTACATGTATTTCCTAAACAGATCAGGTATCTTTTTTTTTATTTATTTTAGCTTATTTTTCTGTTCATTCCTTTTAATTATTTTTCATACTAAAATTTTTTTCCTTAAGATATTCGTGAAAATAAGTTTTCTCAAAATCTGTTTTAGTATGTATAGAATCTTTTTACTTTTAGTGTCTGCCATTATTCTCAATGGGCAAGGTAATAGTGACAGTGAAGGGACTTGTGCTATGGCAAATATTTCTGAATCTTCCGGTGAAGTGGAAACTGCTGATATGATGATCGTTCAAGAAGAAGATCCTTGTGGAGTATCATCATCAATTGTTAACTCTTCAAACACAGAAGAAACAGAAGTAATGTATTTAGTTTTTAAGATAAATATTGAAATCATGGGTAGTTAAACATATAGATTTTTTTCGTAAAGGTTCAAATATATATAATTATTGAATGTATAAAATGTTAACCTAGTAACACTGTCAAGTAATGACTAAGGAAAAACTGTCAAAAACAGATTATGTAGTGAAACCACTTGGACTATGAGTTCAATAGAGTTGATTATTAGATAACAATCCAAGGTCAATGATCTCTCATATGGAACCTTGCAGGAAATAGAATAGAGTTTCTTCAATGATTTTATCAGTGGCCTTCTGGCTGCATACTTTTTTTACTGATTCTCCATCTTTTGCTTTACTTAGCTACACCATACAGTACATTGTTTTACAGTAGTGTAATTCCCTCTGAATGTTGATGAAGACCTTACATGGTTGTAATTTGGTCCTTACTAGTACCATTGAGGTTTGTATCCTTTCAGTAGAGATGTGCCAGATTTGAATTAGGAGCTTCTCTTATGAGCTCATCAGCTTTGTTACTTAGCTTTACCACTGCATGACCTAGCACATATAGCCATCTGTGGACTAAGCACTAAATTTTATGTTAGTGGCACGGTCTAATTGTGGTTTATTACTTTCACCAATCCAAGGGAGAACTTACTCTATTGATTTCAGCTCCAGTTTGGAAGCTCTGATAGCTGTATGTGTAAGATGTTGTTGCTCCATGAGACAATGAATCTTCAACTAACTCAGTATCTGTGACGTGGGAATCATCTGTGACTATGACAACAGATGAATGCCCATCACAATTTTCAAATATATGCTGATTGGTATTGTCCAAAGAACATTAGTAAAACCGTTGAGAAACTTGAAGGTTCATCTAATAAAAGCCTATATTCCAGGCCACAAAGCCATATCTTTTAGTGAGAAAGTGGACTACCCATCTGGTAAAGCACAGCACTTAGGCAACCTGGTAAGATCTCTGAATAATGTTATCAAGGAATTGGCATGTAAACTGAGAGAACAGGACAAGATGGTCACATTGGTCAGTTGGAACACTGGAGGAAAGATGGTGGAAGTATGGAAGTGGAGCAAGTGAGAAGAACAAATGCTACTTAAATCAAAGTTAATTGGCCATTGTACCTGGAAGAACCTTGAGGAGATTACTGGAAGGAGAAGAGCTTTACCAAAGCTAATGCTAAACTCCCAAAGCTTAAATTGCTTGTAAAAATAATATTAATATAATCTTATTTACCTGGTATCTGGTATTAAAAATAAAACTAATTATTATAATAAAGAAGGTGATACACAATAATTATTAATAACATAGTATAAAGGAAAAGTGGTTGCTGCTGGCCGGTTGCCTCGTTGTGGTTGGAGGTTCAAATTAGAGACAGCACAATACTGCCTGAACTGAGTACTGACAAACATGGTGTTGTGGCACTCCACAATTGAAGAGAGACAAGTCTGTACTTTAGTTGCTGCTAACCTTTAGTGTGTAAATAAAATAAATATACCCTTTCAGTTTCATTCCTCTGCCTAGTTTCTACATTTTTGTCTAGGCTGATTTCTGTAGATCTAAGTGACACTAGATGTATATTCCACATTGTGACATCTGAGATCTGGTGGTGGGTACATGGCCATAAATGTCTCCTGAGACAACTTTTAAGTAACCGCTGTTTGGTTGATGTCTATGGGGTCATTGTAGTACTCTATGTTCCAACTGAAAAGGGCTCGGCATGGCCAGGTGGTTAGGGCACTTGACTTGCAATCTGAGGCTTGTGGGTTTGAATCCAAGCCCATAAAATACGCTTGCCCTTTCAGCCATGGGAGCATTATAAAGTGATGGTCAATCCCACTATTCATTGGTAAAAGAGAGTAGCCCAAGAGTTGACATTATGTAGTGATGACTAGCCGCCTTCCCTCTAGTCTTTCACTGCTAAATCACTGATGGTTAGTGTGGGTAGCTCTTGTGTAGCTTTGTGCAAAATTTAGAACAAACCAACTGAAAAAAGCATTGGCTCAATCATAATATGCATGGTTTTTACATAGTAAGATTCCAGAGAAGAATGGTGCTCTATGATACTACTCAGATTTTCAAGGTGTAATAGGGCCTTGATAGAGGTGGCTGAAGTATATATAAGTGTTTTGTCTTTTTCCAGTTTTATCTAGCAGCATTTTACTCATACTGATCGTTGGTAGTGTGCTTAATCTAAGATGTAGCAGATAAGAGTTAAGTAAAATATAAGCAGCTCATGTGCTTCAGCTCTTATTTCTTGCTGCAACTTTCAGTGCATTGATGCCTTTGGTAGTTCTGGTTATCATGGTGTTAATGTAGCTGGTTAAGTTGTCTCACTAAAGTTACTCCCAGGTACTTCAGCATTTCTTCCAGAGGGATGGTAGTGCCTGCAAGTGATGATTATAGTTTGTCCTCATCAACATAGTGTTCAGAACATGGTTGTTGTTTTGGCAGGATCGATGCCTATGCCTTACACTATAATGTTGTCATCAAAGATTAGCACACAGTATCTGATTGGACTGTCAGTGCAGGTTATGTCTGTTGTGTAGCTGTTGAAGAGGCCTGGCAAGAGTGATTATCCTTGAGGCAGATCAATATTGATGGTTTTCCAAGATGCTTACTAGCTTCAGTGATTCATGATGCATCAGCTGATACTGCAGCTAAGACCCACCTTACACGTGTTAAACTGATATCCATTCTGAGAATTTTATAATCAAATATGAGCAGCTGGTTAGATCAGTTCCAGTGTTAAACCACCTGGAGCCTAGTTGTGTGCAACATTACAACTGTTCAATTTCTGGAATGTAGGATCAAGGACTGACACAACTTAGATTCTTAGGTCTGTATTAAATAGGTTCACAGATCATTAACCAGTGTGGGCACTTCATCAGTCTCTGTTACTAGAGGGTGGAAAAACATGGAGATACCAAGATACCATTTATAAGAAAGGCTGGATCAGCAAAATGTTCTAATCCAGGAAGAATTCTTGATTATTATAAATAGACTACTGGATTACTGTCACCTCCATACCTTATTAGGACAGACAAGGCTAGGAGTTATGAAAGTGATTGGTTACTGTATTGTGTACAGAAATGATACGTTAAAACAAAACACTCAGACTGGCACTTGCAGGAGCAATAAAACTCATACATTCAGCAGGGGAATTGACTGGCCATCAGGAAAAGGAGAGTAACAGGGAACTGAGGACTAAATACCAATCTGATAAATGATGCAAGTGAAGAAAATGCACCAATCTCATTTTATTGATGTTACTGCACTGATTGGGGTGGGTGGGGGGGGGGATCAGGAGAAACACATACTGTCTTGAGATTTTCTGAAGAGTAAGCTGTGGATCATGTTTTACTAAGCACATTACTACAAAGGCATCTTAAAATGCAGTTACTTTGCTTTCTACCATCTGTCTATAGACCAATCACTCAATGTTATGCTGTATTTCCTCCAAATCAGTTGATGATTTTATGTTGTTATCATTGTTAGAATTGTTATCTCATATAGAACTCACTTTATTGATTCCAGCTCCATCCATATGCTGATTGAGGAAAGCTTGGATGCTAAAACCTTCCATACTGTGAAACTATTAAAAGACTAAATAACATTGTATTAAGATAAACTTTAAATAGATGCATTAGTGACAATTGTTTTATGAACCGACCACATGACCTCTTTGTACTCATTTAAAGTATTAATAGTTTTGATACCACTAACATTTAATATAGTAGTGATAATCTCCTTTGATAATTTCCGGTAAAAATTCTTCCTGAGAAACTTCAGCGATATAAGTCTTTTCTTAAATAAAACTAGTTTATTCTTTCTCAATTCAACTTTGCAATACACTTAATTTCCACAGTCACTTAAACACACGCTATAATTCTCAAGGAATGATTCACGCACTTTACTTACTACCGTGCTTGACTCAATTGTCTGTCTATATCTTCGATCTCTCTGTCCACTATATCAAACGACCAAAGTTCCCAACCAAATATCAACTTTGCTGGAGTGAATCCAGTGGTTTCATTCTCTGCTGTCCTATAGGCCATAAACAGTGGAGCGAGTAAGACATCCCAGTCATCTTGGCGGCTATTACAAAACTTTGCCAATTCCTGTCCAAGTATCCAGTTGTACTTTTCTACCATCCCATTAGACTGTGGGTGAAGTGGCATTGTACTGGTCTGTTGTATGCCAAACAACTTGCAGCATTCATGGAACACAACTGATTCAAAGTTACGGCCTTGATCTGAATGCAGTTC